CAGAATGGGAGGCGCAGGCGAGTTCACGGCGAGAACTAATCTCAACTACCGAAATAACAAATCCCACCCTGTCACAAAGCTCTGAGGGAAGGATGCCGCGTCCCCGACATTTCCATCCCACACAGCCTCCTTTTGGAGCCTTCTAATGAGGGAATCTATTAGTAGTGTCCAGGTCTGTAATTAGCCCTGCGAGGTTAGCGCGTGTACAAGAAGCATTTAACGAAGGCTCTTCTGGTATTTCAATCAAAAGGTTATTTGGTTGTCGAATGAGAAAGAAATGACTCGATAAATGACAAACTTTTTAACTGGGCGACGTCCGTTGAAGTGGAGGGTAAACGCCGTTTGAGCGTCGCTCATCTGAAAACAACTATTTTATTTATTTTATATAACAAAACAAACTTCCTGTAACACGGACCACAATCTGACCGAGTAGTTGATGCGCACGCAGCAGTGTTCCGTTAGCAGCTCCGATTCACCGGCGGCAACTAGGGACACGTCAGCGAATCACGCCCACAACTGGAAAGTGGCATTTTATGTGATTGACGGGATCTGCTCGTCAACTCCAAACTAAAACTCAGAGGCACAAAGAAAAAACGAACAATGTCTTCTTACAGCCCCCAACTCTGACCACGTTTAAAACAAGAAACAAGAAAACTTTTGTGTTCAGCTTCGCCTTCTGCTAAATTGTACCTACATTGCACTTTTAACCTCTAACTTTTATAAAAGATTTTAATTTATAATTTTATTTGCTGTTTTTAATTGTCTTTTCATTCCTGCATTTTATTTCACTTGTTATGATGTGAAGCACTTTGAGTCTGCCTCGTGTATGAAAAGCGCTATACAAATAAACTTGCCTTGCCTACAGTTACAGTTAAACCACCTAATCTAACATATCGCTTTAGTTTGAAAGAGCAAGAATGACACTCAATAGCTAATTAACTCCCACAACATGAAAGGAATCAACAGTTGATGTAATTAACACTAGTCATAATTAGCGTATTTACATTTAGGGTTAATTAGACAAAATACTGTATTTCATTGTGGAGGACGAAAAGAAGGTGTTAAAGGATTTTAGGAAGAATATGTTGTAAAAAAAACTGTTTTAAAAACACAAGGTACATTTAAATGATCCTCTTTCTTTTCCTTCAAGCTTTGTTTCTGTTATAACAAAAGTGTTTCCCGGGATTTTACTTCAACAAACCCACAGTTTTGTTTTTCCGCTTTGTCCCAAACACGTAACAAAGACCTCACAAGCTACATTTCCTGGCAGTTTTTCCGACCCGTAGATCCCTCTTTCAACCCGGCCTTTGCTTCCCACTGTGGCCCCACATCACAACAACGTCCCGAGTGTGATGTCATGACCGACACTGTGTCACACGCTGAACATTCGAGGAGCTTGAATGTCAAAAAGCAGACCGGCGCCCTCCCATCGCCAGCAGAAATAGTTGTCACACAGCGGAGGAATTACCAACCCCGGCATGCTCCGTCTCCGGTCTAATAAGCGAACGGATTGTTCGCAAAAATGGGCATGTGGAAAAAAAAAGAAAAAAAACCCCCAGAGAGGCTGAGAAGATAGAAATCCATTTGTGAGCTCCGCTGTGGCTATTTGCATGGCGATGAAGGCCCCGAGTGTTCCGCAGACAATAGAGCCTGTGTTTGCTCTTCCCCGGGAAGCTCTGAGAAGGGCCCGAACACGGGGAGAGGAGAAGAAGAAGAAGACGAAGAAGAAGAAAAAGGGGGAGGGGGGGGGGGGGTCACTTGTCAAAAACCCGCCGTGTTCTTTTTTCTATTGGGCACTCGTAATCTTTTTCCGAGCAGGGGTGGGATTATATAATCAGAGTGGTCTCACTTCTCACCCCGCGCACTGTTTCTGATGTGAGAAGATGCTCCGGGGGGCGCGCGACACTCCACAATCACATGGTCTTTTGTTGTTATGGGGGGGGGGGGGGGGGATGCCAAAACACCTGGGACAGATTGTGTTTCTTGCCCGAAAGATGTTTAGATGCAATTTCCTGTGTCACCCCCCCGGTGACGATGTCAAGGAGCAAATGCCCTTTCAACATAAAAGCAGCGGCGGGAAGTCCGTGAGATCCGTGATAATTTGGAGGTTTGGAGATGTGGCTTTTGTGTCTTCTGGAACAAATGGCCGTGACGTTTTACGCTGCGGAGGAACAGAGGTCAAAGGGGGTCGTTGTTGTTCAGAGTGAGCGATCCGACGCGGCGACAATCCAAAAAGTAGATTTCATCAGTAAGCGTTCTCTTTAAATGTGATATTTAGTAGCTGACCTCTCTGTGCTACGCAGCGACCAAACACGGAGATTAAACATTTCAGAGGATATTTAACATTTAGTCATTATTTTCCATGACCTTTCTTTCAGGCATGCAATAGTGATGCACAAACCGTGTTTACGAGAGCCGAACCTCCTCGGTGTGTGTGTGTGTGTGTGTGTGTGAGGGGGGGGCGCTTACAATTTCAGTATGTTGTCGCATGTTTGATGAAACTCTGTGAAACTGCACGACAAACTTTTTCTCCCCGTAATTAATTCTTTTTAGATAATTGCCTGTGGTTGAAATTCACCGCTCTCTTTTCCTTTTTTCTTTTTTTAGCATCGGTTGATTGTTTGTGATGAAAAAAGCCCTTTGGCTGATAAATGTCAGAGGAAATTCAGGAGCCTTTGCCTAAGAGTGAGGATTTTTCCACCGGTGCACGCAATGAAATAGCAAAGAAATGACTTCCCGGCGCGTACTTGATAGCTTGACATTACCCTGTTGTTCCGCCTGAGTCTCTGGACTCATTCGAGGTCCCGATTTAGGAAACATGAAGTGCACGCCAGCGTTGTTGTCTTACAGAGCAGTAAACAGCAGGTCCCATGATGGGCTCCCAAATGACCAATTAAGGACATATTGTCTTGGAAGGGTGAACTTAAAGAAGCGAGGCTAAACAGATGCTTTTTCCTTCAAGACGGCAGATGGCTGTAGCGTCTATATTCATACCCGTCGTCACATTTTCACCTTTTCCTTCGTTTCAATGATGCCGTAAAGACCACATAACTGATGCTCGAATGGAGTTAGCATTACTTAGCTGTTAGCGTCGGCAGTGCATATTGATGCGTCATTCACAATGTCAAGTAGGAGATTCTCCTGCTTTATTGGAACGCATGAACGCCGCTAACAGCGTCGCCCGGCGCCGTTTCCACAACGGAGCGACATTTTATTAACTAGATGCGGCATTACGTATAGAAAAGTAACGCGGCGGGTCTGAGCACATGGAGTGCTTGACATTGTGCGACTGCAGCTCATTGTCATCCATCACGTGGTGGAGCGGCATGTACTGTACATACAGGCTACAGAAAGTGTGACGAAAAGAGACGTCTCTGAGACTCTGAGTTTCTTCTATATTGGTCGAAGGTGTTTTTTTTAATACCTTTTGTTCATTATCATCCCAGAATTGCTTCACCTATTTCCAAAAAAAAAAGGCCCATGTGGTTAAATTGGCACCTGAACACCCGTTGTGACCGCGGTCCACGGTTTCAGCCACGCCAGCGATGACTGACACCCGGGGGAGGCGGGGTAAAGGGTTCTTAAGCGGACTCCTTGGCAACGCCGGCGGCTGAGCAGTTGCTCCGAGTAACATCACCAAGGGCCGTCGTGTGGTTTTGGCTCACGCCGTCGGGCCTGGGCGCGTGCCTGGCAAGCCCCCGCGAAACACCACGGCGGCCTCACGATTCGCCGGTCGCTAATTGGACTGTCACCCCGCCACGCTCCGCGATCCGAAATCTGGCTCGCAAAGACGCGGCCGGGCGGACAAAAACGTTGAATTTCAGAAATAAGAGCGTGCGTCGGCAGCTGCTTTCGCCGGCCCATTACAAATGGATGTTGGCAGCTAATTTAGTTCTAGCAGATTAAACATGGACATTATGAGCTGTTAAGCACTGAAACTACTCTAACTGCTCAAACGACGTCCTGGAGTGTACTCCAAACTCTAAGTTCTTCCACCGGGGACCAGCCATGTTGGAAATGCACGCACTCGTGCTCCTGCGCAGCACTCAAATATCTGGGACTCTATTTGTCATGTGCTAATATGTAAGTGTCGAAAAGCTCTTTTAGAGTGGTTTGGAATTATCGCCGTAGTGACTCATATCTGATCCCACCGAGAGGCAAAGGCACCAATTTAACAGGTGAGTTTAGTTGCTAATTTTCCATAATAACGTTTGACAGTAACACGCTGACAGTGGATCATCGTTGCTGCTAGTTGAAAGAAAATTAAAAAAGACGCCGTTAATCCGTTCGTTGGGTTGATGGGTTTGTTGATCTCCGGGAACGCCGACGGGGAGGTTTAAAGACGCCGTATATTTGTGTTGTCTTGACTAATCTGCCGCGTCGTCTGACTTTCACTGTCCTCACACTCTTGACCCCGGTGCACATTGTAATTGCATTGATTCCACTCATGGTTTGTCAGATGCATGTGTGCGTCTCTGTTTTCCATGTCTGGGGAGACATTGATCTAATTAGAAATCTTCATTAGTGAGCCGCAGAGTGCATCGTCAGGCTTTAGGCATCATTTTCAGGCCCTGCAACTCCTCCTTAACCCCCCCCCGCCGCCCCCCCCATCCTGTGAAGCACAGTGCAGGGCCTTGTCTTAATTCAAAATGTCATGGAGGACTGCAGGACACAAGACAAAAAACAAAAGGGGGGACGGTTGGTGTAAAATTCAATCCCTCATCCAGTTTCCTTGCTTGAATGTTGTCTCAAACATTTGAGCTGCAGTGCAGCAGTGCAATCTCTGCATACTCTTTATAAAAGCATATCATAACTCATCAAGCTCAAGGAGATCAACCGTCATGTTGACTTTTGTTTTTAACCTTTATTTACTTTGTGTTAACTCTCTCCTCGATATGGAAGCTTTCTGTAGAAATAAAGAATGTTCCACATTCTTGAATCCAGTGCTGCAGATTTCTTCATTTAGCAAACTGGAGATTTCTCACTCCGGCCTTTAATTAAATTGTTTTACTTTTATTTCAGAGACATGAGCGTGCATGCAAATGACATCCTAACGAGATGGGATACAGCACTGCAGGGGCCGTGAATCACTGTGCTGTGGAAAGAAGAACCGGTGATGGTGCACCAGTGAACCCTCCGTCCTCTGTCCGCTGACCATGGCAAGTGGCGAGGAAATGCGCGGATGGACGGTAAAAATGAGCATGCCCAGTGTTTTGGCCGTGGTCGCGGCCTTTACTATGATCCCTGGCGGTGTACTGAGCGATACGAGAGGGACTCGGGGTCTGGAAGCCCAACAACTGGCCCAAGGGTCCGCTCATCTGCACCGCCGCCTGAAGAGGGGCTGGATCTGGAAACAGCTGTTTGTCCCCGAGGAAGATCCCACCCCTCGCGTTATTGGCCAGGTACCATTTCAGATTGAATGTCCTCCAAGTCCCTGACGAGCTAATTTCGCCTCCCTTTGAATTCAAGTATTTTATTCTTTAAATTAAGCTTTCGTGGCCCTTTCGCAGCTCAAGTCCGACTATGACCGAGGGGAAGCCTCCATGAAGTACATACTGACAGGAGAAGGGGCCGGAGACGCGTTCGAGATAGACGAGTACTCCGGGGAGATCCGGACCCTGAAGAAGCTCGACCGAGAGGAAAAGTCCTTCTACGTCCTCCAAGCCCAGGCAATCAACAGGAGGTCCAACGAACCAGAGGAACCCGAGTCCGAGTTCATCATCAAGGTGCAGGACATCAATGACAATGGGCCGCAGTTCCAGAACGAACCGTATGTGTCCAGCATCCCTGAGATGTGTCCAACTGGTATGTGAATGAAAGACCAGAGGAACGCTTTAACAGTCAACCAAATGAAGCTCCGGCAGGTTGGATTAAATTCAAAGGCTTTGTTGGATGTTTATGACATACGTCAGTTTCAGAAAAACTAGTCTGAATAAGTTGTTGAGAAAATGAACACTGATCTATTGCTGTAAATAGCTGAGACAAGTCAAAGTGTTAACCTGCTAACGGGTTTACTTATTCCAAATATCCTTTGTTTACACATAATAAACACTTGGAACGGTGAGGAACTCTAAATGGGCTTTATTGTTCTAAGCATATACTTTTAAAATGAATTTTCTTAACTTAGATCTGGACTGAAGACAATGAACGAAAGGGTTAATGAATGTCTGTCATCTGTCCCCATTCAGGAAGTTAAAAGTATTGAATTGTGAATTGTAGCTTGGATGCCTTTATGGATAAACGTATTATATAATGTTATTATAACCACTGCCCTTTCATACCACAAACATTACCATTTCAATTTATGTGTAATCTGCTTCTGCTGCGTAATATCTCATTCGTAATAAATCACAGTGCATTTGACTCTGGAAAAGAAAGTGAGAGGGGAAGGTTGAAATGTTGTGGCAACCCCCACCTAACCCCCACCCAACAGTGTGCCTTCCGGGGTAAAAAAAATAGAAAAGAAGAAGATGGACGAGGACTGGGAGAGAGGATGTGGTCAGTGGAGAAAAGGGCAGTAAGCGTGAAAAGATGGAGAGGCGAATTGGAGGGAAAAGGAGCAGCAGGTGGGCGGCGAGCGAGACGTCGCTGTGAGGGCCGGCGAGGTCGTCACACACACCTGCACAGCCTCGCCGAGCTGTGAAAAGCCAACGCTGCTCTCCTCCATCGCCAACTTCCTCCCCCCCCCCCTCCCACTGAGCGAGACCGACAGACCCTGCGGGACTGTGGCATAATCACTTTATCTCCCCGTCGACTGGAACTGCTGCCCGAGCTAACTCTGACTGTGTGATCTGCCCCCCCTCCTCCCACAGGGACCACCGTGGCCCGGGTGACAGCCACAGATGCTGATGATCCCATGTTTGGAAACAACGCCAAGCTCATCTACTCCATCCTGCAGGGGGAGCCCTACTTCTCTGTGGAGCCAAAGACAGGTAGCCCTTCCAAATCACGCGAGGCTTTTAGTTTGAAAGGGTCGACGGAGGCTCCGCCTCTCAGCAGCCACAGTCCGGCCAGCAAGGGAGGCGCGCTGAACATATAATGTTTAACTTCACACCGAGTGGCCTTATAACAAACCGAAGGGCAGACGTGGTTTTCAATCTGAGGCACGTTTTTTTTTCCTGCAAACGGCTTTTCACACGTTTAGCTGGTGGGAATATGTGAGTGTTTGCATCCTACGGGGAGTCTGGCTCAATTATTTGTGTGATGCAGAGGTCGGCGGCAGCAATTTCCACACACATTGTCGACCTTATCTGAGAAGAGTCGGGGAAAGGCGTCATTGATGTTGGAAAACGGTTAACATGCAAAAGAATGCGATCATCAATGAGGAACATTGTCGTCACTTTTCCACACAAAAGACGAAAGAAATAACAATGAGGCTCAGTGTTGCTCCAATAGACCGAGAAGCATTTCGGCCTGCCTTGTGCTCGGGTTTACTCTAAATCAGACCATCATTTAACAAATGATGATGCTGTGATGAAGGAGACTTGAAACCATCTATTGTATTTGATTGATTTGATTTCAACACAACTTCTTTTCGGCGAATGCAAAGGATGCAAAGTTCAAGGCTCGTCCCGTCCGGCTTCACTTGTTAGACCGCAAGGTTTTACGCCCGGTTGCATCGCTGTTCCTTCATTTCTAACATTGGTACTTCAGAGCCTTGATAATGTAAAATATTTATAACATCAAATATGCATGAGTCCTCTGCTGAGAACTAGTCTCCAACAAATACACTCTTTAGTCCCAATTTCAAAAAACGATTACATTTTAAACCTTTTTTTAATATCTTTCTTACAAAGATACTCTGGGATTGTCTTTGCATGTGGAAAAATAAATGTATGTCTTTCTGTCATTTTTACACTGCATCCGGTGGGCCGCACTGGACCTCCCGGCGGGCCTGACGTGGCCCGCGTGCCGTATGTTTGACACCCCTGTTGCAGATAGATAATTAACTAATAGACTGCTAATAGTCGTGTTCATTTCAAAGCCCTCTCGGTATTACTGAAGACCAAGCAGGTTTGCAGGCTTCACATTTACAGGCCCCCTGCACGACCGCCTGAGGCAGAGTTTACTCACAGTTTGAATAAACACCTAATGGCCTCCTCTTGTGCACCACCTCTGGGTGCACCACCTCTCCGTCCCCCCGCAGGGATCGTCTTAACGTCCTGGCCCGACATGGACCGCGAGGCCCGGGACGAGTACCTGGTGGTGGTGCAGGTGAAGGACATGCTCGGCCTCAGCGGCGGTTACTCCACCTCCACCACCGTCACCGTCAGCCTGACCGACGTCAACGACAACGGACCCACTTTCCAGCACCGTGAGTCACTAAGCTGCACGAGTCACGCCGGTGCAAACGGTAAGGGGCACGCGGCGCCGCGGGCCCCCGCCAGGACACGTTTAGTATTACACCCGAGAGGCGTTTATCTGGTCCGGGTGGGAGGTTTGTGCTGCCGGCGCTGCATCACGCGTCTTGTTTTTTTCGGCCCGGCGGCTGAAATTAAAAGGAGACAGTGGAAGAATGAGAGCGAGGGAGAGACGGAGATGGGGATGTTCATCTGCTCGTGCACGTGCACAGGCGTCGCCCACTGGATGGATTTAATCATTCACACATGAAAGGACATTTGTCATGACCTTTAGAAACAAACCTCACTAAATGAATGCCCCGGGAAGAAATCAATTCTGAAGAAATGAGACAGCAAGGATGATACCTTTAACTATTAATGTAACATTCACATTCACATGCGACTGCATCCTATCCAGTCGAAAGCCACTATAAATATTGGATGACCACACTTCACTTTGAACTGTGCCCTCTGTTTTGTGACATAATTGGTCATTATTATGTGTTTTCTGGGGGTGTTTTCCCAGTTGGGGCAGCCATCCAAATAGAGTCACTCAGAGACACAATCGCATTTTCTCATCTTCGTATTAGAGTTGCTGGGATTATGTGGAGTCGCCACGATTTATCTGTGACTCACACAAATTGACCCAACACCACAATGTTCCCCCTTCTTATCACTTTACACACTAGCAGACTCTCTTGAGCAGATATTAACAACTTTCTGTCAAGCTGTGTGAGCAATTTTAACTAAAGAAACCATTTTTTTCATTTTTTCAACAAAAGTGAGTGTCTTTCTTTAAAAAAAAATCCCATTCCAACTTTCCCCGGCTAATATTTAAAACGTCCGCGTATCTTCAGACCTGTACGCCTTTGCCCTCCCGGAGGATTCGGCGGTGGGCACCACGGTGGGCCGCATCATGGCGCAGGATGGAGACACCGGCGTCCACGCCAGGATGACCTACAGCCTGGAGGATGACCTGGAGGAAAGCTCCACCTTCGTCATCCGAACAGACCCGGTGACGCAGGAGGGGGTTGTTCTGCTAGCCAAGGTGGGTACACGCACCGGACCTTTAGGTCCTGAGAAATTACTGAGCTCAATATGCACAATGAGAGAGCGTAATTAGCTTGATTTGATGATTGAATATGAGCATTATTCACCGTGAGTGATCACTTTTTGATGATTAAAATAAATAAGTCGTGAGGCCTCCTATTCGAGGCAAAGTAGCATCAGTACTATATAGAAACACTAAAAGTCCTGCATTCAGTATTTAAGTTAAAAAGTATTAGCATCCGAGTATTCTTGGGCTACCTCAGTGGGAGTTCCCATTATGCCGAATGATCCATTTCAGAGTTTTATTACTATTAACATAATTATTAAAGCATCAATGCGTTCATCACTTTAATCTTACAGCTGGGGGTTTAATTAAAACACGTTAAATACTGCTGGGTAACATTAAAGTATTTATTCGCTAATAATGCATTATATTCTATTCGTTGGCTCATATGTTCATATTATTGTCCTTTGTTACGTTCCATCACCTGACAGTCCTCAAAATATTCATTCAAGAATCCTCACAGATTCTCTTGTTTTCCTCCAGGACTTGTGCTTCACACTTCTCACATAAAAGATGCCTCTTCGATTCATTTAGATGCCGTGATAATGAAATAAAAGAAAAGCATTGTTGACTCTGTCTCTGAATCATTTTGGAAATGCAATAACGGTTTTGCACGCTTGTTTTTTTTCATTACCAGGATTATAACGTTAAGAAACCTATTAAAGGCAGCGTTGTTTAAGCGCATGCTCGCGGCTGCCAGCTTATTGGCGTTGACTAAACCGCTTTAACGTCCGCCTCGAATTCCAGTCGGCAAAGCATATTTGCAAAGTTCCTCTTTAGGCCTAATGATGACGAACCAGGAGCCACTGTGTTAATATGATCTGTTTGAAAGGCGTTTTATTACCCTCCTCACAGCCTTTGGACTACGAAGCCAAAAGGCGTTTCGTCATGGCCGCCGAGGCCGCCAACGACCACGTGGACACCCGTTTCCTGACTCTGGAGGAGTTCAGGGACAGGACGACGCTCAAGATCGTCGTGGAGGACGTGGACGAGCCGCCCGTCTTCCTGCCGGCGGCCCACGAGTGGAAGGTCCCTGAAAATGCGGCGGTGGGGGCCGTGGTCGGCAGCGTCACGGCCAGAGACACCGACGCCGTCAACAATCCCATCAGGCGTGGAAAGGGGTTCCTTTTCTTTAACCAGAGAGAGATCGGCCCATCCAGTCGTGGGCCGGTATAACAAGCTCTCTGCAGGGGGGGCGGGGGGAGGCCAGTCTTCACCTCACACTGTTTTCTCCGCACGGGAAAAACACGCTGCACTTCATAAAGGTGGGCTGGCTCGGTCCATCTGTTTTTCCCCTCTATCTCGGAATCCCGTATTATTCTCACATACCTCCGGGTAGGAACAGCGCCCCCCCTCCCCCCCCAACCGGAAAAAATCATCAGGATTCGTTTTTTTTTTTTTTTTTGTTCATCTACTTCGAAGCTCACACGTCTTTTCTATCCGTTGGCCGTGGTATTATCACAAAACGCCGCGGCCGGTACGCGGGGGGGTGGGAGGGGGGTTATAAAAGCGCCATACGCGGCGGAATTGAGATTTGCAGTCATTTGCAAGTGGGGCACGTTGCAGAGGAGACGTCAGCGGCACCGGTGCACGTAGTCCATCTCTGCAGAGCTTAAGAGTGGCAGGTGCTGCATATCATCCTCGGCCTAGCATGTATTACCGTCCCTTTGGAGACCAGGTCTCACTCATTAATAAATTCAGGTTGACATTTTCGGGGGGGGGGGGGGTCCTCTACTAAATATGATTGAGTTTACTTTGGACAAATTGTCAAACTTTCCGTGTTGTTACAGGAAAAAGCGGCCTCTGGTTCATTTAGTGTCACAATCACTTATGTTAATGAATGAAACACGACATGGGGATGTTGGTTTCCACCTGTAACGTCCCCTACATTCACCAGAGTCCCTGTCTCATGGTTTTTAAACCATCTCTGTTCAGGGAAAACGGATTTAAACGATTATGATTTGAAAAAAAAAAACCCGGCGTAGCGATGTGAGATGCTTTGTTTCCGCAGAGTTGTTGTCACACTCGTGCTCCCTTTGTTGGGTGTCTGTCAACAGATTAGAAGAAACGAGCAGTTCCCCTAATTAATCTCCCGGTGGCATCACAGTGTTTTGTTGGCCCAAAAAGCAGCCTCGGCTGCTAAACGCGCGTCTCTGTGGTTTCTCTTGCAGATATTCAATCGACGGGAGGAGCGGCAACACAAAAGCTTTCAAAATAGACGCCAACAACGGAACCATAACCGTCGCTAAAGCGCTGGACCGGGAGACGGCGCAGTGGCACAACGTGACCGTTGAAGCCGAGGAAACCAGTAAGGAGAAAGTCCGTGTTTCGCCCAGCGGCATCTCCTGGATGCAGCCGACTCGTTGATCCTCGCTCGGGCCGGAGACCTGTTTGGAATACGTTAACATCACGCGTTGATGACAAGTCTTTGTCCGCGGCATGCGGCTTCCAGCCAGAAGTAACACAGGGGGTACTGATGTGATCCGGAAGGATTATGCAGAAAGAGAAACAACGTTAATCCTGCAGGAAAAGATTGTGTTTGTAGTTGGAATGATAAAATTAAATTTGCATAATCAGCGTTAGTTAATGAAATATGACTTTTTCTGAGGACGAGAGCAGCGGTTTGTTTGAGCCGTCGGTCCGTCCTGATCACATGTAGACTTTTGTCTGCTTTCATACCTCCTGTGTGACTTGGCTCACAACACAAATATAACTGCGAAGAGTAAATAACTAAAAGTTATGAGTAAACAGTAAGAAATACCACTTTAAGTTGTAGATCCATCGCTTCAAAAGGTCAGAGGTCACCGGTCTAGACCGAAGAATTAACCACTTTTCCACTTTCTCCGTTGGAAGACGCTCATGTTATTTCCACGGAGTCGTCTTTCCCAAAGAAGAAACATTAATCAGTCTTGAGTGTTATTTCGACGGAGCTCTTAGAACGCGTTTATGACACATGCACCCGGCGGACTCCAGCAAATGTCTATCTCCACTCCTGCAGCGGCGAACCATTTATCCTCCTCCGTGGTGGTGTTCATCAAAGTGCTGGACATAAACGACAACGTGCCGACGCTGGCGGGCGATTACCAGCCGTTCATCTGCGAGGGAACGCAAGCCGGAGAAGTATATTATATTCCACTGACGGTTGTGTATTTCGGAGTGTTGAGAATTCACATGAAATGCTCGGTGAATGTTTTCATTTTCACTTTGAGACGCCTCGGCGTCGAACAGACTAAAACACAGACGTCGTCAGCTGTCAAATCTGATCTGATGTTTTTTTTTCTCAGAAACGTGTCTTTGTGTCCCTCAGCTCATTCAGCTGCTCAGTGCTGTGGACCTGGACGAGCCGGCTGAGAGACACCACTTCTACTTCTCCATGGTCTCTGAGAAACACATCAATCCAAACTTCACCATCAGAGACAACCAAGGTCAGAGCCGAATGTTCGCCTCTCTGAGCGGAAGGAAAGGAGCGACAATAACGCTGCAGGAACACATGTGACATGTGAAAACATGGGACCAGATGAAGCAAGCGTGACTCATGGTTTCACCTCCACACGTATGAGCAGAGGGCAAAATGAAGGATTGTGTTGTGATTGCATGGATTCAAATGTGCAATGTTTCTGCCATTTGGAACGAAATCCTTCAACGCGTTGTCGCCTCCCCCTCGCCCCCCCCCCGAGTCCGTCAATTAGAAAGGTGTTCGCCTCGCACACAGCAGGCGGTCAACCTTTCATCAAAAGGCGGCAGATATCAAACGCTGTTAAAGTGGGCAGCGCAGGGATGTGGGATTGAACTGTGCCATGTCGGGCACAGCGGTCCGCTCGGCAACCAGGACGCGAGTCGTGAGTCACACGTGAAATAAATCACAGTTTTTTTGGGGGGGGCGTTGGACTTTGTTTTTCAGACAATACCGCCGGCATCGTGGCACGCAGGAGTACTTTCACGCGCAAGGACCGAAGCCGGTACCTCCTGCCCGTGGTGGTGACAGACAGCGGCTCTCCGGCCCTCACCGGCACCAGCACGTTGACCATCAGCGTGTGCAGATGCCAGCCCGCCGGCCACTGTCCCACGGGGGGGGTGGAGGCCCTCGCCCTGTCCATGGGGCTCAGCCTGCAGGCCCTGCTGGGGCTGCTGGTCTGCCTCGTCACACTCACGGGTGAGAAAGCATCGGAGTCATGTTGGATTCACCGGCAGTCACAGAGTGCGAATGAAAGTCAAGTCAAAAATATTACGGAACACATCAGTAAATTAGATATTTATTTATAACGCTTTTTACTTACTTAATAAAATATTAAGATTTAATTTTGTATTTTTTTTTAAACTCCAATCAGAGGGGCAGTGGTGTTAAAACTGTTGAAATAGACTTAAAAGTAACTTTTGATAATGCGCTTTCAAAAGGAAAGGATCTTTCTTTGTGTGGATTTACAAAGCTACAGCTCCGTCCTCCAGACACTTAAAGTGATAAAAAGACTACTGAGCAATCTTGACAAAGGTCTTGTCCCAAAAAGTTTCTGCAGACCTCCTGGAGAGACAAAAGAGACGTGAGCGGCATTTTGATTGATCGCGTTTGATTGATGGATGGATGGATGGTGTCTGTGTCACTGATTTTTTGGTTGTAAAAAAGGTCATTCTTTTTCAGCGGATCTGTGGTGCTAAAGCAGCTCCACCTCACGTAATTTTGGCAAGTATGTAAACTTGAGTCAAGCAGACGGATTTTTCCTTTAACAAATCCCCCCCTTTCATTTGATTCCCATTTTAAAAACTCACCCGCGTGCCTTCATCACACACTTTTAAACCGCTGACGGCTCGCGCAGCAACGACGTCGGGTAACGAGCATACCGCTTGCAATACATCAGTATCAAAGCCAACCTGGGACACTGATGGGTTTGCATAGCGAAGAGCTTTATTAAGACCTCAGCTGCTTTGTGCCCCCTCTGTACCCATCACATGAGAGATTAATGACAAAACCTGCAGTGCTAACATTCCGTCAGATGAGCACAATGCCCCACGAAAACCAATCGAATGAACAAACAAGTCTGCTTTCATGCGTGAGCCCGAATAAAATAAAAAAAAAACCTTATTGACTAATTTGCGTTCGTTTTGATTCCTTGCATCCACGACGGTTTACGGAGAAAGAAACCCGGGGTGCACGAGGACCCGCTGTGCTCCGTCGGGCACCCCGGGTGCTTTTTACCTCGGCGAGCTCACGCCCCGGTGTTTAACGGTAATGGCCCCCTGCCGGGTTGTGTCTGCAGTGCTGTCACTTCTCATGCTGGTGGTGAGGAGGCACAGGCGGAAGCAGCAGGAGGGACCGGAGGTGGCGGTGATGGAGCTGCCCGAGGCGCCGTCGCAGAAGGTGCTGTATTACGGAGGAGAGGACCCGGACCCCCGCCGGCACGCCGTCCCGCTGCGCCGCCACCCGAGGAGGCGGGAGAGGAGGCTGCGGAGGGAGGAGGTCAGGGCCAGCATACGGATGTCCCTCAGGGAGTCCCACCTCATCGGGCCGGACGACGAGGTCTTCCGGCAGTTCATCCTGGACAGGCTGTCGGAGGCGGATCGCGACCCCGACGCCGGCCCGTCGGACTGCCTGAGGACCTTCGCCTACGAGGGGTCCGGGTCTCCCGCGGGATCCTTGAGCTCACTGGAGTCGTCCGCTTTGGAGCCGGAGCCTGAGCGACCCTTTGGTAACCCCAGGCCCCCCATGGTCAGACTCACCCCTTGGTATGGGGGAGGAGAGGAAGACACCATCTTCTGAGCTGCTCTTCTGCCTTTTCTTGAATATTTATCTTACGCCCTTCATATTTGGAGCTCATTTTATTGTGTTTGTCCTGACAGGTTGTGCACATATTGGCTGTGGGTTTAGCGTGACCTGACAACACGTCGGGGCCACGCGGCGTGTTATTTACACTCCAGAAGCTGCAGTTTGCACCCTGTGTTCTACCTAAAATGAATGTTTGCTTTGTCCAACCTCAACCACGTCCCTTCGCAAGTCAAAGAATCCCAGTACGAAGTGGTGGACCGGCCCAGTGGACTGACAGTAGTTGAGCCACGAGCTGGTGTTAAACAGCTTTGATATGTACATCTAAAGATTTGAAATATAAAAAGAGTCAGCAAACATACTGACATAACTGGGGAGGGTACAGTATAAGATGTATAAGGTATATAAGGTACAGTATAAGATGTGTTTGATGCTTTGATCATTACATTTATTCCAGTGTGATATTTCTACACTCATTACAGTATTATTCACTTGTGACATTTACAATTCTGATATTTACTTTTCTATTATGTCTCATATTTGGTATGTTTGCTCACGATAGCTTGTACTGTACAGGATGTGTAATTATATTTTACTTCACAAAGTGATATAAATGAATGCATACCTCCCTCGGGTACGTGTACGGCAAACAGATTTTTTTTAAATAGAGATTTTGTTTCCTGATTAGCCTGCACATACAGAAGGGTTTTCCATTAAATATGAACTCCTTAACATGCATAATGCTGTGTGATATGACTTCCCGCCTTCTGGCGAGTCCCTCAGAGGGCAGATCACAGGACGCGTGTCAGCCAATCAGCAGCGCAGCAGAGCGGGACGTGGAGGAGGTGAAAAAAGGCTCGATTTGAAATGTGTGAGGAGAGAAAACGCCGACGTACAGCGCGTCTTCGTTCTTCCCTTTGCAGTATTATTGGCCGCGTGGGGCATTTGTTGCGTGGGCGGCTGCTCGCGGCGGGGGGGTCGCTTGAGGTAACCGCATGGGCCTCAGGTCCCGCCCCCTTTCACCTTCCCGTCCTCTAATTGGGCTGCTTACCGTCTGCGAAGGTCACATTTTAAGCCACAGAGGGAGCTCGGTTCCCGCTGAAGGAATAACTAAACACAAATATATTTACACACCCTATTTGCAGAGTAAGAGGGTGGAAAGAGTAAGAGAAGAGTAAGTCGGAGGAAACGACCAACTACTTGTATCTGTTCAGCTTTTTCTTGCTAACTTGCACGATGGCTTCACCGCTCAGCGAGACAATTTCCAGACTGCAACTCAAAGTAAAGCTTCAAATGGCTTCCGCTGCGGGGACAATCTCTCTGGCCAGGTCTTTTTAGACCTGAATGATTGTCTGGTGATGGTTTCTAAAGGCACAGGTTCTCTCCTTTCAAACCAATCCCCACAGTCCAACATGGAGGCTATTTGATTTGCCCACAAATGCTCCGTTGTAATTCCCTTTTTTCAAAAAGTACCGTGATGTCAAAAGTCATTCAGCTCCTGGTGTCATTTAACCTTCTGAATTTCTTTCATTACCCGCGGTGAATATCACGGGCAATTTAACCTAACAGCTCCTTTCTTTGTGTAATTACACCCATTACAGCAATGTGAAGGATTTCGCTCCGTCAACTGTCTCCGTCCTCTGCACAGGTTATAGATTCAGCTCGTCTTTTCAGACGCGGCGCCAGACTCATCACCAGGCGCCGCAGCGCCTTTGAGAGGACATTTGGTGATTAGAAAGACGCGGTTTTAAAACGTACATATACACATGTGTGCATACAAATGAAAAAAAAATCCTTCAAGTTTATTTGATAACCTAATTAAAGAGTCTGAAGATAAAAGCTGGGACTTTGTTTTGAACAATAGTTTATTACTATAAATGTTTTCCAGTGAGAAGGATTTGAACCAAATGACACAGCTGCATAGACGGGGCCCCTGCGTCTTACATCCGATCCGTGCAGAACACTCGGTTTCCTCGGGAAGATTCGGAGGAGAAGGTGGTTGAGAAGGAAGATGTGTGAGTGCTCTGCGCGTATTCATGGATCACAATCCACAATCTCCCAGAAATATCAAATTGCAAACAAATGAGCATAAACTTTACAGAGCCTTAAGCCTAAAGGGCACTCGACGCTGCTCAGTGTCTATAAGCAAACTGTGAGTCACCCCCAACCTGTTATTAGCACAGCGTGCGCGCCGCTGTCAGATCTGACAGCAAATGTGTCAAAAGATTATGCAAACTTTGAATATTTTGGGATTTACAGAACATATTTCCTGCAAGTTGTTTTGGTGTGAACCTTCGCCACTCCGTTAATAAGCGTTCCCTCATCGCCACGAGACTTGGGGATTGTCTTTGAAAATGAATTATTTATGCTGTGCAAGAACTTTGCAGGCTTGTTTTGTTGCTCATCAGAGGCTAATTGGTGGATGTTTGGGGGATAATATGCAACCTCGTTTACAAGACGGTTGAGAGGTTTACATCAGGCCTGAGGCCACTCCATTGTTATCTGGACAATTTGGACTGCAGCGGATCCTGAAGAGAGTGTTTACATTGCAAATCATGTGGGTGGTGTGTTTTATTTCCGCGCTTTTCCAAATACCCGATCCCAAGTGCCAAATTACCAGGAGCGGATTAGACATTTGTTGGTATTATTTAATGTATGCTGTAATCATTAGCGTGCTGACTGCTAGCAAGGGACATGCCCCTTCGACCTTCAATATTTCAGCATGCGGTGTAATTATTTTACTGGGGTCTCATCGAAATGAGTCATCTGGAAATAAGAGAAAATAAACCACATCTGATTTTCCTTTCAGTGTAATACAGCCGGACTGGACCGACACAAAAGACGTGGCTATTGGTCCTCAAATGAAGATGAAGACTACAAAACGTAAACTGTACACATCGTATACATAAGATATATGATCAAGGAAGCGAGGTGGATGAGATCTGATACCTTTGCTTTTGACAACATTGTTAAAGGAAATGTAAAAGCTTTTTCCATTGAGAAACATTATAATGACATTAGTATTTCTCATTGACTGACTTACATTAAGATTTCATGTGTGGCTCTTTGAAGCAGATACAACGTTTTGTAATAGTGCTGCCGTGGCATTGTGACCCTCGTCTGAAGACGCCACACTTAACGTTGGCCATCAGCAGTTTGAGAACATCGCGCTGATCTTTACTTTAATCTAGACAGACATTTCACGAGCAACAGCCCGATTAGCGTGGCTTCTTCCGTCTGAGATTAAAATGGAAGCAAGAGCGACTGTGGTTGTGCGATCGTGGAGTTAGTGAGCCTGTTGCTAATCACCAATCATCGTTTCGACTACGGCGTTAAATGAACATTGAAAAGCATTTCCTCTGACAAATCAGAGCGCGCGGTTCACTTGTGAAAAATGAACCGCCGGGCCGCAGGAGGGGGAAGCGGGTGGCGTTGTGAGCCGTCCGAGAGGTCATCCGTCCGCTACGACGACTCGGCCTCGAGCCCCATCACGGCCATCATCTCCACTGATGCTCCTCTTCTTCCTCTTTGACTTTTATTGCTTGCTCGTGTTGTGCGTCGTCAATTAGTCGAACCGACCCGAGACACAAGTTAAAATGATTTTGAGCTGAAGCAACAAAATAAAGCGTGTTTTCCTTTGGTTTCCTCCCCACGTCCCATCAGACGTTTCATTGAATCAGAACACACAACGAGCTATTTTCATCATTCTTCCCTCTCCTTGTTTTTTCTCAAAGGGCGCCGCTTCCTCGGAAAGAAACACTTTCCACTTATCATACGTAACGCATCCACTTGATCTGATTTCATATTGTTCTTTCCTCGGGTCTGTAGTACGAAAGTACTATTACGGAATACCAAAGGCCTCGGGTTCAGAGTGAAAAGTCCCATTAATAAAGAAGAGATTACTTTCACTTGCTGTCGAGGCTCCGTGCAGCTCAGGGATTGATGCTCTCACATTAAATCAGACCCTTGAAAGGTCCTTCCCAAACTGCACGAGTGCCAACTTTACAGGTGTCTTCTTTTTGCTCTATTTTGCTTCAGTTTCATGTTCAGTGGATTTTATCCAGTCGTTGACATCATGATTTTGTTGGTTTGGTGAAAAAAAAGAAAAAAAGAAAGCGTATTCGTCATTTTCTTTCATTCTTCCTCCCTTTCTCTTCCCTTCCTCCCTTCCTCTCCTCGGAGCCACCGGGTTTGTTGTTCACTCTTTGTCGACTGAGCCATCACTCAAAACGCGGGGCTTTCTTCTGACAGCCGCTGGAGCAAGGAAATGAGAAATGACTTACACAGTTTAGCTCTTCTTCATTTTCACTTGCTTTATTATTACCACACACATGCTCATGTGTGTGTGTGTGTGTGTGTGATCAAACTGCAGATGATTAGTGAAGTCTCCTCGGCCAGAAGACACCCAAATCTGTAAAACGGTGAGAGGTTTTCTGTCAATGTCCATACGCGACATCCGGTACATTTAGTCGACTTTGACACCGCAGAGAGCGATGGCCCGCGCGCTACGCTAATTAGCTGTCATTCATAATTTATTAAAGTCAGAATGGGAATAATAAATGGGAAGGGGATTTTATTTGGGGTGTCATGTCAACTGATACCACCGGGGCACCGCTGGAGAGCGGCTGTAAACATGGCGGCATAATTGCAAAAATAATTTGCCAGTCAAATGAGTTAATAGTTAATCGTGTTAAAGGGCAAAGTGGGACTGAACGTATTACTGTTTTTTCACTGTTTTTTTTCATATTCAGGACACGAGGGACGGATGGAGCTAAAATCTGACACTTGTTTTGCTGGAAGTGTGACTTCTTCATGAGAAGAATGCAAAAGAACAGACTTTTCTCTGTTCCTTTTCATGCATGAGTTAGAATATCAATTGTAGTTCTTGGTGGGGAAAAAGATCCAATCAATCAGTCAACTGATACAAACAGATGGTCTGAGTCTCCTTCCCTCTCTGCTCTGTTTGTAGAGTGAAAGACAAAATATTTCAATAAAGTTGGGAGAAGGAAAAAAAACTAAACACATCAGGCAAATCACCGGAAACAGAATAAATTAGCAAACTGGCTGCTGCAAAGTGCAGGTTTTGCTGGGACGGAGAGGCCGGGTGGACTGGTTGTATTTGGCATTGAGCAGGATGGAGGGCGGAGGACACCAGAGGACAAAACCAGAGGACACCAGAGGACTTCAACGAGTACAACAACACACTTTCTTACTGTTGCAACTGTGAGTTCTCTCCCTTTTTCCCTTTTCTTCTCGATGATGTTTCATCTGCTGTTGATCTAATAAATACTCTGATTCTTGTAGTTGTGCCTCTAAATTGCAGCTGAGCACAGCAGTAATACCGGGATAGGTGCTTTTATTTGAAGGCTTTACCAGGCCTGCTTTTAGTTAAATCATGTTGGCTCACCCGGGACAGCCTTTCTGAAATGGGTCCAACCCGGTTTTAAAACCATTTCATGGTAAAAAAAATGTGTACAGTGGGAGTGTACTTTTTTTACTCTCCTCTTCATTTTAAGACGTCTGCGTGTCTCTATTGTGTATGCGCATGTTGTGAGGTGCTCCACGAGTCAGAAAAAAAGCCATCGATGCAGTCCTCAGAAGTAGCACATCATTAATAACGGAGGGACCTTTGAAGATCCTGCATAAATGTCTAATTAGGTTTGGTAACCTTTAGGAAACTCAAGTGGGTGAATACTAAACAGGCCTGGAGATCTTGTACTGCATGGCAAACTAAGCCC